GTAAACCAGAGACAATAGGGGAGGAGGTATTGCTGCCTTTTATCCGGAGGCTAATCACAACAATGGGCATCAAGGGTGGAACTGACCCCACGCCTCTCACCTCAGCATTCAGAGTCCACAAGGCTCCAAGAGCACCTGCAGGAGCGCCCAGAGACACGATTGTGGTCACCAGGGATGTTGCGACCCGCTCTACCGTCCTGACCCGCTCCAGAGTCTTGGGAAGCGTCCAGTTCGAGGGTGCACAGTCGCAATATACCGAGACCTACCCTTTTCCATTCTGCTGGAGAGAAGGATGTTGGCTCCCATAGCTGGCCACCTACGGGGTCATGCTGTGAAATACCGCTGGGGAGAAGAAGGCTCACTGACCGTCTAACAGAGTGATACCACTACAGCACTGACCTCCTCTGGAGACACTGAGGCATTCCTGCAACAGCTCAAACGGTCAGCAATAATAACTATGAGGGCAGCAATGCAAGTAAAAGGAACTGTAACCTGAAAGATCTAGTGACACTTGCCTAGATTTGTATTTGTATCCTGAGCGCTGTATTAATAGAGCAGTATTTTCTGCTATATATTTGTAAGTATATTTTATTTTATTTATTCCTATTAACTTTTCCAATTGAGAGCACTATCGCTGTTTTTATATATTTTGGAGTACCAAGGTTGGATTGACAGACGCACCCTTCCAGTATATCCTGTAGCGGGGATTATACCGCTAATCGCCCTTCATCCTAGAGCTGGTCCAAGCTCCTCCAAATGTGAGTGTATTAGCCTCTTTTCTTTTTATCTATTTTATCCTTGGATCCGCAATACTTCACCATTGGCAGTTTGTCGTGTTTCCAATTTTGTCTCCACATAAACGGATTATTTTACAACCCGGACGGATTAACTCCTGAGGACTGTACACATATCCCATCCAGCTATATCAGTGAGACGTTTCATTTATACACCACTTCTAAGGACTCTTTTTATCTATTTTATAGAGACTTTGTTATAGACCTATTTTGCTGTTACTATTTCATTGTGACCATTTGGTCTGGTTTTTACTGCTGTTTATTACTGTGTTTTAGTTTTTAGTGCAGCCATTATCCCCCCTTCCCCATTTTAGCTTGTTTTATTAGGGTTCTGAGGGATTTCCTAATTAGGGTTGCTGCTTATCTGTTTGTTATCCAGCGCAGACTTTTTCCCCCTTGCTTCTATGTGTGTGTTACTGTCTGATTTTAATTGTGTGTGCATGTGACTGTCTGCCTGTAACTGTGTGTGTGACTGTATGTAACTGTGTGTGTTTCTGTCTGCCTGTAACTGTGTGAGTGTGTTTATCTGCCTGTAACTGTTTATGTGTGTAACTGCCTGTACCTGTGTGTTTCTGCCTGATCCTGTGTATTTAACAGTGTATATGTATAACTGTGTGCATCTGACTGTGGGACTGTGTGCATGTGACTCTGCAGTCTGACACATCTGGCATGCACTTCTGTTGGCTGACAATATGTAGCTGTCTTCCTAGCACCTGCCAATCAGAGCACTGCCGCAAATTACCACAGGACACTGCAAGTCCCTGAGCTTGCGAGACAGTTACACATGGTCTGCACCCAGTGGAGGGGCAGAACAGATTCAGATCTGCATGCCCCTCTCCCAACTAGTAACAACAGGAAAGGAGGAATTAATATTTGTTTTTAAATCATTATTTATTTAATACACTATAAAAAGACTGACCGGGGAAGAGGGTGGGGCGCTGCGAAGAGGCGCCTAAAGGCCTAAGGCCGGCTCTGAGCCTACATATCAGATAAGTGAGGGATGGGGAGACAGCCTACAGATCAGATAAGTGAGGGATGGGGGGCAGCATTCAGATCAGGTAAGTAAGACATGGGGGGAAGCCTACAGATCAGGTAAGGGATGCATGGGGGTGCAGCCTACAGATTAGGTAAGTGAGGCATGGGGGTGCAGCCTACAGATCAGGTAAGTGAGGGATGGGGGCAGCATACATGAAGGGTCACCAAGGAGCAGGAAGGTAAAGTAGGAGAAGGAGCAGAAAGGAGAAGGAACAGAAATGAGCAGGAATGGACATCAAGGAGCAGAAAGGATCCGCAATGAGCTGGAAGGGACAGAAGGAGCAGAAAGGTAAAGTAGGAGAAGGAGCAGAAAGGAACAGAAATAAGCAGGAAGGGGCAGAAATGAGCAGGAAGGGGCAGCAAGGAGTAGGAAGGGTCTGCAAGGAGCAGGAAGGGTCTGCAAGGAGCAGAAAGGATATGCAAATAGCAGAAAGAGTTAGCAAGGAGCAGGAAGGGGCTGCAAGGAGTATGAAGAGGCAGCAAGGAGCAGAAAGAGTCAGTAAGGAGCAGGAAGGGTCTGCAAGGAGAAGGAAGGGTCTGCAAGGAGCAGAAAGAGTCAGGAAGGGACAGAAGGAGCACAAAGGTAATGGAGCATAACGAATCAGAAGGAGCACAAAGGTAAAGTAGGAGAAGGAGCAGAAAGGGTCAGCAAGGAGCTGGAAAGGGCAGCAAAGAGCTGAAAGGGGCAGCAAGGAGCTGGAAGGGGCAAAAGGAGCACAAAGGTAAAGTAGGAGAAGGAGCAGAAAGGAACATAATTGAGCAGGAAGGGGTAGGAAAGAGAAGGAAGGGGCAGCAAAGAGCAGGAAGGGTCTGCAAGAAGCAGGAAGGGGCAGCAAGAAGTGGGAAGGGGCAGCAAGAAGCAGGACGTGTCTGCAAGGAGAAGGAAGGGTCTACAAGGAGCAGAAAGAGTCAGTAAGAAGCAGGAAGGGGCTGCAAGAAGAAGGAAGGGTCTGCAAGGGGCAGGAAGGGACAAAAGGAGAGTAGGGGTGTCACTGATTGGCTAGAGCAGTCAGCTGGCACTCTAAGCCAATCAGTAGCTCCCCATTCACAAAAAGTAAAATATTTTTATGAACCGGGAACTAGCAATTGACTTAGAGCGTCAGCTGACTCTAGCCAATCAGTGGCACCCATGCCTGATGTCAATTTGCCCTTCCTGACACTCGAATACCACTGAGCAACCTGGAGATCTGGAAGTCTTTGGGGTTAAACCATGTGAGAGAGGTTTAACCCCTTAGCATCATAGCATTTTCATTTAGATGAAGTTGTTATGATCAGAATGTTCCTTTAATTTGATTAAAGGAACACTATAGTGTCAGGAATACATACATGTATTCCAGACACCATAGTTGTGAAAATGCTATTCACCCTGGCTTTATGTGATGGCTTTGCCCCTCCCCTTCACGACACTGTCAAAAAGGGGCCAAACATGGATGTCATTATAATTATGCCCCCCGCCCCCCTCCCCCCCACACCCTGGAAATATTCCTGCAGACGCCTATGCCTGATGTATATATATATATATATATATATATTGATAAAGACAATGGATAAACATTATGGCGAGATGCTGTAGATATTAAGTAGTTATAAGTGAAAAACCTCTCCAGAGATATTGCAATGCAAGATTTCTAGTATATCTCAGAACTTAGAAAAGCATCCACCTGGGTTACAAATTATATGATGACAACTACCATGACAAAGACAACTTAGAAGTATAACCCCACAAGTACAATATTAACATAGGAAAAACTAGCAAGTAAAAACACTGATCTTCTCTTCGCTTAACAAAGATGGCAGAAACAAGTACTATTTAAAGGCACACTGTAACTGCTTCATGTCATTGAATTGGTTCTAGTGTATGGAGCACACTGACACAGTCTTTTTATTCAACAGTCCATCCCCTCTGTGCTGTTTAGGCTAATGAGGAAGTGTTCGCCTATTCAGCAACGGCCAGCTGTGATTGGCTAAGAATGTCAAGTTAAGGCATTCAGGCTCTCACAGTGCCCATTGCTGGGATGAATTGGTATGGCTAGAATTATGTGTGTAATTACTCATTACTTTACCCATATTTTCAATGGGGGCCAGATGCCCTTAATTAGTGTTAAACTGCTCAAAATGGTTTCACATAAAGTAGAGACAATGCCAGGGGACTCAAGGCACTATAACCAATTCAATGAATTAAAATGGTTATATTGCATACAGTGTCCCTCTAAATTGTCTATTTCTGGCATATAGTTACGTAGTTACATAGGCTGAAAAGAGAGATGTGTCCATACAGTTCAGCCTTTCTCACATCTGTTTTTGCTGTTGATCCAAAATAAGGCAAAAAGCACTTGAAGCGCTTCCAATTTTGCAAACAAATTGAAAAAATGTTTATTCTTGACCCAAAATGGGATTTATCAGATTTTCCTTGGATCAAGAAGATATTACCCCACAAATGAAAAATTATATCCCTGAATATTATGTTTTTGTAAGTATGCATCCAGTTGCTGTATAGACCCTAATAAAACCACTTATTTGGGCAGAGAATTCCACATCCTTATTGTTTTTACTGTAAAAAAAACCCTTTCCTATTTCTAAGTTCACACTGAAAGGTTAGGCAATGTGAGTACAAGGGATTTCGCTCTTTCTCCTGTGATTTGGGCAGTCCATCAGTGGGGTATACTCAGCACAGTATCGGCAAGATGGCAACTAGGAATGTCTTTTTTTTTTTTTTGCTCCACTTGCCATCAACATATTCATTCAATGCATGTCACTTCCCCCAGTACCTTGTCTCTTAATCCCTACAGTCGCTGGTTGTCGATTTGTCTCTCCCCCAGCCCCTCTGTGTCTTTTTGTACCCCTCCAAGCCCCTTTTGTGTCTCTTTCCTCAGCACCTTCTTTCTTTCTCCCCCAGCCTCTCAATGTCTGTTTGTGTGTGCCCCAGCCCCTTTATGTGTCTTATTCGCCCCAGCCCCTCCATTCCATGTTAACATACAATTATAATTCAATGCTTAAGTCGAATTGTGATGGGATAACAGCATGGTCAAAATTTAGTAGGCCAAAATCTCCATGTGGCATATGTGTATGTTGTGTCAGTTAGTTAGCTACACGTAGCTAGGATACTGTCATCAGTGTACTGAGCATGTGCAGGAATGCAGGAACTTAAATTGCACTTATTTCCTTTGTCTTGGATGAGCCATGTGGTTTGACTAGATGTACAAGTCTATATTCTGCTCATTGATTGGTTAAAGGTATATGTGGGTGTAGCTATTAATGGGAGGAGTTATAGTGCTATATAAGGAATGTACACTATGTGTTGCTCTCTCAGAATGTTGGAACAGGAGTTCATTACCCGATCGGTAATGTGAATAAATGCCTCTTACTTCCTGAAGACTTGTGTCCAATATCTCTGTGTTTGGCTTCTGCATGCTTACACTGCAACATTTCTGGTGCATTGGCAGCCGGGAACCTCATCGCACGGAAGCTGGCGCAGAGATTTGAGATGGTTAACTTTTACCAAACCTTCTACGCTACAATCCTGGACTTCTACTGCGTGGACCTCCTTTCGTCTCGGCGCCACTGGCCTTTTGTCCAGGAGATCATCGGCTTCTGCGCAGTGAGTCCCGGATTGTTCCGTCTATGAGTGAACCCAGGTCCAGGAACTAACAGGTAAGATTGATACCGTTAGAGCGGTAGACCCACAAGGGGTTTTATATTTGGAACCGGTTATTGGAATCTGCCTGTCGTAAGGGATGGAAGAAGCGAAAGCGCAACGCTTATCTGGACATTAGACGCTCTGTAGTCAGCCCGTCTAATATAGGTGGTTTGGGTCAGACTGAGTTCTGGTGTAAATAGCTCATGTCAGACACCGGTGTCCTGTCTTGACTAGCGTATCTAGGGTGTAAATTTTGTTCGCTAGGTCGGGGGGACCGGGAGACTAGCATACTCTGTTGTATATTATAGTTTGCTAGATTTCCCCCTATCTTAACTAAGTGTGCTCTGTTGTAAATCCAGCCACTAGATTATTGATGGTTTCATAGACTAGCTGGGTACTGTGTAAATTCTGCCCTCTAGTTCGCTATACATGGTGTCTGGGCAGCGAAGAACTTATCGAATCTCTGGTGTATAAATAGATCGAAAGCTCTCGAGGTGCTGGCCAGTTAGAATAGTTGGGATTATTGTAAATGTTGTTAAATATATTGTAGTTGATGAATTGGTTAACTTGTATGTCCTACTAGAAAGTTAGAGCTCTGCTGTCTAGTGGGAGTGTAAATTGTCTGTAAAATAGCGCACGGTACCATAACTACTGACATGTACCATAACCACTGACATTGTGTAAAAATTACTAACAATTGCTGTTTTATGTTATATGTATAATACCATAACTGATACTAACTGATCTGTGACTTTAAAACTGTATTATAACCACTTACTAACTGTACCATAACCACTGACTGTAAAGATGAGGTTACTAGAATGTGATATAGTTGGTTAGTCAAAAGTTGATTTATAGTACGGATAATTGTAGAGGTGAAATTGTTGAAATGTTATGTGATCGGTTAGTTTATATGGATTAATAGCGTGGATAGTTGTATGGTTTGAATAATAGTTACATTGATAAGTGTATAGTCTTTGGTGGGTTTTTGATTTAATTTCGTGTGTGCGACGTCGTGATATTGTTGAGCATGTGAGGATCCTGTGTGTGCGTGCATGTGTGTGTTTGGGCCTAGTAGGGAGATTGGTGTGACTGTTGAAACTGTGTGTATATTTGTACAGCTTTTTGAATCAGACGTTCTGTTGAAATAATCTTCTGATTCACAAGCCTGTTGGTCCTTTGTCTTGTATGTTTAAAAAAAAAAAAAAAAAAGTAGGGAGTAGCCTGTCCTGGTGGCTGCATGGCCTCCATGTGGCAGTCTTCACTTAAATTTAGTGCAGGGTGTACATGTGGCTGTAACTAGTAGGCCGGAATTCTATGATCAGTTTCTATACATTGACTGTTGGAAACTGATTGTTGAAAAACTGCCTTGGTGAGTTAAACTGTGTCATATGAGAAACAATGTAGCCATATGGTGGTCAGAACTAAGGCCTTGATTACAACTGCTTTGGACATCCCCTCCCCCCCTGGCATCTGATTACCAACCCCCCAAACATCCTCCAGAGCCAGAGTAGCCACGCCCCTATTCTTCTTCCCAAGCTAAAAACTGGTATAGTCAGTATTTGCACTCCCCCTGCTCTACTGTCCCCGCCTACCCACATACCTATCTGTTCCTGTGTTTCAAACTCTTGTATTTCTGTACTACTCCCCCTCCCCCTAATCAATGATCAATGGTATAAGATGGTATATTGTTTTTTTTTAGTTACTGGATGGGCCCCTCCCAGCTTTGTCCAAAATGTCCCCTTTTACTAAATTACAAACTGAAATGTTTAATTTACCTTAGAACTAAAGATTTAATCAAGCCTAGATATCAGGGTGGACAGTGATTAAAATAAGTAATAATAAAATAGGGACATAATTAATTAAAGTCTATCTGCTTCATTAGACTTTAGGGAGGCACTCTAGGCCACCTACTGGCCATCTTCGGGAGTTACATTGATAATACATTGTTTATAACAGATAGAAGTAGGATTGCTTACCCTATTTTAATATATTTATTGCTATAAGGTTTTATTTTATGTATAAATATATTAAAAGTTAAGTTTTCTTATTAGACCCATAAAGATTATTTTGATACAATTACCCTCTGGTGACACCTACTGGTAGGTTTTTGGTTTAACACTTTTAAAAAAAACGTTTTTTCATCCACCAAATGCTGACTAATAAAATTAGCTCACCCCCTTACACCTATCTTACTACTCCTAAACTGGAACCTATTATTGAGCAGCCTTGCCGAAGTCCCATATTAGACACTGCTTGAGTCAAATAGATTGTACACTCCTTTCAATCCTGAAGCCCCTGAAAACTTCCGAATGATAGACTTAGCATTTGTCAGCCAGGCCCAAGGTGATATTAAAAGGAAATTACAGAAATTAGAGGGATTTGTAGGGATGTCCATATTACAGCTAATGGAGATTGCAAATACAGTATATATGAATAGGGAGACGGAGGTAAAGCGGGAGGAAGAACGTAAAATGAGGAAAAAGGCAGATATGCTAGCGGTAGCTATCTTAAGTGTAGAAAGACAGGGAAGTGAATAGAGGAGACGAGAATAGGCTGAGCAAGGGACCTTTAAGTAGGAATCAATGTGCGTATTGTAGAAAGGAGGGACATTGGAAGAGTGAGTGTCCACAGAGAGAGCAGTATGAAGGTGATAGACAAGGAGAGAGAAGGGTACGAGGAGGTTATAGTGGTAGTTATAGAAGAAGAGGAAGTTTTAGAGGGAATGATGGGAATAGTAGAGAAAATGTTCAAGGAGACAGATACTATCCACCTACGCAGAGACCTAGAGAAAGAGAGGATAGAGATTTTGTGGGTCTGGCTGACACTATCATGGAAGAGTATTGATACCGACCAGGCTCCATCCCACTTGGTCGAGCGGAGCCTATGGTCGATGTAGCAATAGGGGGAAAGAGAAGTTCTTTCATGATCGACACAGGTGCGGAACATTCTGTGGTGACTAAGATGGTGGCTCCGCCTTTGGGGAAGACTATAACTGTGATAGGAGCTACTGGGAGAAGTGCAGCTAGACCGGTTCTTAAGAGTCGCACTTGTATTCTGGGAGGCCATGTGGTGAAGCATTAGTTCCTATATATGCCAGAGTGTCCGATTCAACTTTTAGGACGAGATCTATTATCAAAGCTTTAAGCTCAGATAACCTTTTACCTAATGGATCAACATCTCTGAAGTTTAAGGGATTACCAGGCATAATGGCGATATCGGTGCCAAGGGAAGAAGAATGACGCTTCTATTCCATAGTGACAAGTGTTAACCCTAAGAGTGATGAATCCTTATTTGACATTCCAGGAGTATGGGAAGAAAATAATCCTCCAGGACTTGCTCGTAATATCCCACCAATACATATTGAGTTAAAGCTCGGGGTGTATCCTGTTAGCCTTTGTATGTTGTTATTTTATCTACCCCAAAAGCTGTAAAGGTGGCAGAAGTGACTCCTTGGATTCATCATTCTAAGGTTAAACCAGCGGCAGACTCTTGGCAAGCTACTCCAGATCCTGAGAATCCTTGCAGGACCCGGTTGAAGCGTGCAACTCAGTCGGAGTGACGAGGGGATATCGAGACATTCTAGTTAAAAGTCTACAAAGATCATCAAGTAGGTGTTTTGACGGCCATAATAAAGCCTGACCACCTGCCTACGTGTCATAGCCAGAGTGTCTCGAAGGGATCTCTGTGAAGGAAAGTGAGGATCAGAAGAACAACATCCTTGCAGCCCTCACAATCGGGAAGCTGAGAGGCCATCGCACGGTTGAAGAAAAATGAGGATTTCAGGAATAATGTGTTTTATTATGTGTCTTAGTATTTTTATGATTTTTCAGGAAGGTAGGAGTACAGACATACCGAATTGCGATAGTTGCATTAAGACTACTAAAACAGGTAACCAAATATCCCAAACTCTCATCTGGCACTCACAGTATGAATGTAAGGGATCTGTATCTAAATGTAGATATTTGGATATTGATTATAGTGTGTGCAAGCCAATATCAGGAGAGTCTAAATGTTTTGATCCCCAATTCCAACCCCGTACAATTTGGTTGGTAATTCGGAATAGTAACTCCCAGGGGACATTAATAAATAGGACTGTGATAAGCACCATACATTCCACGGGTATTCTACTATTTGATGCATGTAAGGCGATTTCGGGTAGTGGAAGACTTTGGAATGTATGTGGTAATCTTAAATGGGAACGAACTTATGGGTTCAATGACAATAAATATTTATGCCCTAGTAAAAGATCTACTGATCCTGATTGCCCAAATAGAGACTAACTTCTGCCCCTATTGGTCATGTGTAGGTTGGGCAACCTGGGAAAAACAGTGGATCAAGATATGATTATCCAAAGGTTGCCTACCACACCATACTGTAAAACTATGTGTGTAACCCCGTTCACATGACCATTTCCAATCTGCAGCACTTTATTGACAGGTTTGGAGGTCTGTTTGGGTTCCAAATATATGGCACAGGAGTAGATCCAGGAACAATAATATATGTAGGTCTTGAAACTGAGACAGTGGCAACTCAAACTCATCAGGTTTCTCATTCCTTCTATGAGGAGATGAGTATAGGATAAAATTCCCCATAATGTTAAGAACCTATTTATTGATTTGGTTGAGGGTATTGCAGGTAGTCTTAATGTAACTAATTGCTATGTGTATGGAGGTACTAATATGGGAGACCAGTGGCCATGGGAGGCAAAGGAAATATGGTACCCTGGCTCTGAGACATATGAACAACAGATACCTTTCCAGTCTGATCATCAAGTAAATATTAGAAGTAAATTGGAATGGTGGTTAAAAACCTCCATTATAGGTCATGTTTGTATAGCCAGGAAAGGGACAATGTATAACACGTCTGTAGGTGAGCTAACTTGCTTGGGACAAAAAGCCTATAATGTTAATACTAAAAATACTACTTGGTGGTCAGCTTCAAATGTCTCGGAACCTACTAATCCGTTTGCCAATTACACTCATTTAAAGGAGGTATGGTTTGACTTATCGGCTACATCTAGTTGGAAAGCCCCAGCAAATTTATACTGGATCTGTGGTAGGAAAGCTTATTCAGAGTTACCACAAGATTGGGAAGGGGCATGTGTATTAGGTATGCCAAAGCCATCCTTCTTCTTGTTGCCAATCGAAACAGGAGAGACATTGGGAGTTAAGGTTTACGATGTAAATCATAAAAGGGAGAGAGCATCCTTGAATATAGGTAGCTGGGAAGATAATGAGTGGCCCCCCCAACGTATTATTAATTATTATGGACCTGCTACTTGGGTAGAAGATGGCACTTATGGATATAGAACTCCGATATATATGCTCAACCGCATTATTAGACTACAGGCGATGGTTGAGATTATTACTAATGAGACAGCTCAAGCGCTTAATCTTCTAGCTAAGCAAAATACCAAGATGTGATCAGCCATATACCAGAATAGGTTAGCCCTTGATTACTTACTAGCAGTAGAAGGAGGTGTATGCGGAAAGTTTAATCTAAGTAACTGTTGTCTGCACATAGATGATGAAGGGCAGACAGTGGCTGAACTTACAAGCCACATGGTTAAATTTGTGCATGTACCTACTCAGGTCTGGAATGGGTATAACCTAAGTAGTTGGTTTGGAAGTTGGTATGAGCAGCTTGGAGGAATTAAGACATTAGTAGGAGGAGTAGAATGTATTATTTTGTTGTGCCTCCTCCTGCCCTGTCTAATTCCATTAGTGGTAAGGTCCCTACGTAGTATTATAGAGAGTACTATAGAGAGAAAGACAGCTGCCCATGTAATGGCTGTCTGGAAGATATGATCCCCTAGCCCGAAGAGAATATATTCAGGATGAAGAATGTTGAAGGAGTTTTTAAGATGCTTACAAGGTCTACTCTGGTTCAATGGCTACTTGAGAGATGTAGGTAAAACTGTGATTGGTGATGCATCTGGAATAATGTTATATCAGAGGCATCAAAGGGGGGAATGTGATGGGATTCCAGCATGGTCAAAATTTAGTAGGCCAAAATCTCCATGTGGCATATGTGTATGTTGTGTCAGTTAGTTAGCTACACGTAGCTAGGATACTGTCATCAGTGTACTGAGCATGTGCAGGAATGCAGGAACTGAAATTGCACTTATTTCCTTTGTCTTGGATGAGCCATGTGGTTTGACTAGATGTACAAGTCTATATTCTGCTCATTGATTGGTTAAAGGTATATGTGGGTGTAGCTATTAATGGGAGGAGTTATAGTGCTATATAAGGAATGTACACTATGTGTTGCTCTCTCAGAATGTTGGAACAGGAGTTCATCTGAGACCCGATCGGTAATGCGAATAAATGCCTCTTACTTCCTGAAGACTTATGTCCAATATCTCTGTGTTTGGCTTCTGCATGCTTACACTGCAACAGAATGATTACAGTCCAAATGGCAGCTCTAGTACCAAATACAGAGTCTCTCTCTTCCAATAAAAAGCTGGATAGAAAACAGGGGGAAGGTGCAGCGCCTAAGTAGTCACAGACCAGTGGGGGAGAGGAGCTTCAGTAACCTTTTCCGGGGGTAACAGGGAGCAGTTCAGCGACCACTGAGCATACTTCCTGTCAAACTGGGGTGGAGGTTACTGAAGCTCCTTTCCCCCAGTCCGCGACCTGGCAACGCTACACAGGAGTGACTGGCTGGAGGGGAGTGCTGTGCAATGCGCTCTCCTGCTGGTCAGCCGAATCTTGTGCCCCAAAGCGGTGCCTGTGCCACCTTATGGCAGTGCCGGCCCTGATATTTTCCACCACCTGAAGTCTGGTATGGGTGGAAGGACTGGAGTTGTGGCCCCTCCTCCTATAGAGTGCGCAATGACAGCACGGAGACCCTACCGCTATCAAAGCAGGTGGAGCCAACTATCTTCTCTCTTAATTTTAGAACTAATTTCCAATCTCTTTAATAAAACGTCCCTAGCAGTGAATCCCAACCTCGGTTATAAACATTTTCATCTCACAATATTTTTTAAAAAGAAACACAGAAACTGCTTCTATATTAATTTATTTATACATCTATCCCCACTTACAAGAATTAAAACATACCCAAATAGTTATATAAATATTACATTGATTATCACAGTATCAATATCCATATAATTTTCCAGATAATCACTATTCATGAGTCCAAAAATTATTTACATTTATACAAACCGAAGCTTGGGAGGGACTAATGGCCACCTGAGTAGTATTGATAAACAATCAGAACAGCCAGTGGTCCACATGTGTTTCCAATGGTATTACAATATTGACCAGTTTCCCATAAAGCATGCAAGGCCACTGCTGAGCACCTATAGGTTTTTGTAGTGTTACTCAGGATTCTGACACACAACTACAGGGTTTGCTATAGTATTCAAGTGTGGACTGTTCAGGGAAATTTCAAGTGTTGGGAAATTTTCAAGCTGGGGAAAACAAAAGAAAAACAACAACAAAAAAACATTTCTTTTCAGTGATTTTTTTTCCTGTAATGTAAAATTCACATTGAATTTCTAATAAGTCACACTTATTAATAGCAATAGCAGTTCTCATCTGTATCCTGTTTTGCTTATTAACAATTCTAAAAGCATGGTATTTTAATGGTCTGAGGGTGCATACAGTACTTTGAGACATAACACTGAGACATTAAGCTCTAGGAAATGGCTATCGCTTAAATGAGAGGAGTTGAATGATTGGTGGGTTTGGGGCATTTAGCAGGCTGTTATGTTCTAAAAAGGATAGAAAATATCAAAGAATGGATGACTTAGGCTATAGTTACTCTTATGTATATTTTAGAATGGATGTTTCCAACCCAATTCACAAAAACCCTAAATAATTCAGAATTTATTAACTTTGCAATTCTGTTCCAATGGGAAATTTGATGAAAAGCAGATTATTAAAATTTGAGGAATAGATTAAATCATGGTTTCAGAACAATTTATGGCTTACCCCATATGGTACTTATAAGGTTTTAGTTTATCAAGTTAAAACAGCTGATTCGAGTTGTGTGCATTTATTTTCCCTAGCCCACCCAATAAAAAATGCTAATAATAAAAAAATAAACCTCTTTCTTTAAAGAAATATTTTTAATAATTGGTCTATATGCCGAATTACAGTAGTTCTTCTATGTTGATCAAACTTTTAGCCACTGGGGTTCACCATTATGGAACAATTTATTTTCCTATACAACCATCAGCAAGTGATCTAGGACAAGCCCTATCAGATTCATGAGAAGATAAATTCTCTAGCACAAAGCATACAATTTGATTCCAAGCTTCAGATAGGTTTTATTGGAAAACAGATTGTAATCTTTATGTGTTGGTAGAATTCAGTCTCATTTTCATAGTAGACATTATAAACATTATAAACATCTGCCTTCAATTCACCATCACAAATTCTCCTACGCCAATGTCTCAATTAGGATTATACAATAAAAATATGAATCAACCAGAGTTTGAAGTGAACTTCAAATTTTAGGCTAAAACATAGGGGATTTGAAGATTTTTTTTCTACTTCATCTGCTGATGTCTAAAATGCAAAATCTACATAAAAAATAACTTTTAATACATCACGATTTTCACTTTAGCCAATACATTGTATGAGACCGGAAATAAAGTAAGGGGGGAAGGCTATAATCTAGACTAGTCATGCACAACCTGAGGCCCTCCAGATGTTTTTCTACTACAATGCCAATGATTCTTTGCTTAACACCCATTATGTATTTAACAGATCGCCAATGCCCATGTTTTTTTGAATGAAACAGATAGCCAGGGAATCATGGCTGATAGCTAGAGGGATCATTCGAGTTGTAGTTCAAAACATCTAGGGGGGTGCAGGTTGTGCAGGTCTGATCTAGACGAACAGGGGAACACTCCAAAACTAGAAATAAATATATTTATTTCTAAATTTGGAGTATTCCTTTTAGTATATTCGATAACTAGTCATGGACAGTCAGATTATAGGGTGAAGCTCTGAGTCGGGTCCAGTAAAGACTTACAGTGACCAGTGTGCACCATATTAAATGTACAACCAGGTTCACCTTAGCCTACTAGGAAATGAGTGAAGTCTATAAAACAAACAAAATATTGTGTAGAAAACAATTAATACAGAACAAACACTTATTCTTTTAATAGAGCAAAGACACAATAGGGAAAGTGCTTGTTCGCGGATAGTAGTTCAACGCACTCTCCGTGTTTCCCTATTCCCTTAAGACATTATATGATGAAATAATATCCTCAAAGCTACCATAATTCAGCACTTCTTCCCTCTGTGGCTCCCTGCATGTCATGCTTTCACAGCAGTGCTAGATTTCATTTATTAAAGAACATCCATCATTGAGAAATCAGTTATTAACCCCTTAAGGACACAACTTCTGGAATAAAAGGGAATTATGACGGAGTATTTACGTCATGTGTCCTTAAGGGGTTAAATATACATTTTAGAAATGGCCTACACTCTCCTGCAGTGATGCAGATTGTGCCTTACATTATGTCTGTAATATTAATTCCCCTTAGTTGAGCTTATCATCTCTATTTAAAGCTTCCAGAACACATGAGATCATATCAAAGGGTCAAAGGACTAGCACATCTTTCAAATGAAATGTATGGTGCCCTTAATTTAATTTAAAACTAATTGAAATGGACATTGCAAAGAAAAATTATAAAATGGGAAAACAGAATTTACATGATCACTACACAAGGAAATATATAAAGATATTTCTTTCCACAATATTAAATATTGCTGATAGTGGAGCATTTGTTGATTAACCCATTAAAGGGTTACTCCAATTAATGCTAATCATCAAAAGAATCGATACCGAATATCAATTTGATTCATAAATTGTACAAATTCATTCGAATTAAAATTCCTTTTTAAAGTATTTTAATTCAAACAATTCGATAACAAATTAACCAGATTTTCGGAAAATTATTTGTTTGACAACTAGTACGAATATTTTTTAAATAATAACTTCAAATACATTTTAGCACATGTCGAACATTAACATTATTCACATGTGCAGGGGGTGCAATTACACTACTGCACAAAATGAATTATTTTTTCGAATAGGAAGTGTTTCAAGCAGAGATGCTGCAAATATAAATTGCTACCACCATGACCACTTCTAAAAGCAGAGGTGGTCATGGTAGTTGGAATAACCTCTTAATAGCAGATGAAAGAAACCTAAAAGCACTTATTTCAATTTAGCCGATATTCAGTTTCATTAAAATCTTGAACTGAAGACTGTCCAATGTTCTGATCCAAATTTCAGTTATAAGTCTTCTTTACATATGATTGTGACAATGTACTTTTTTATTGCAACATTAAATAAACATTGCCATAATTTAATGGTCTTCAAAATTATATAATTTCTCATTGCTCATTCAATAAACACTTGTATTATCTTTTTATGTTACATAATTTAAATCATGAGATATATATCTATAAATATATTGTATTTGAATCCAAAAGCAACATACAAGGGACCTGTATGTTGATCACTGCTAGTAATGCGCTACCATTTTTGTCTTCTTGTGAAATTACACATTTTATGTTTGCAAAAGAACGTTGTCAATTCAGTAATCCTGAATTACAATAGGATTAATTTTCACCAGTGAATATTTTCCTGGATTTCCCGCTAAAGAAGAAAAAAAAAATTATAATAATCAGCTGGGTTTCATGTGTTTTGTCAAAAATGTCAAGTTTCTCCAATTTGTCTTTTAGGACAGAAATGTACCCATATCTAATCACAGTAAATTATCATTTTGGTCTGAAAATTTACTACACTTACAAAACCATCATGTTTTCATGTCCTTTATGTCTATGCTCATTTTGAGCCATTAAGTACTTCTTTTGAACTTTTTTCAGGTTCAGATTGTTCAGCTATGATCTCATGGCCATTTTTGACCTCATGATCAGTGTCATTTAGTGCTTGCTTTTTGTTTTCTGTTGTGAAGCCATTGCCTTCTTTCATTTCAATCTCTTTGTCTTGTCTTTCCTTTTCTTCCTTCTCAAGCATCCGATAGTTATAATAGTTCATAACAAATAGGAACAAACCTGCAAACACTATGGTACCACCACATGCATAAAACATGTATCTGTAGTCCCCGGAGGCATCAACTATTGCACCTGTAAATAAACCAAAAATGAATCCGTTAAAAATGTTATAAACCCACCTTAAAACATTTTTTTTTCACCAGACGGTAACATATGATGAGTTGATGTAGACTGACAAAAAAACAGCAATAGTTATGTTATGATATTTGTTTTGTATGTCTTCAATATAAAAGTACTCTCATTATCGGTATTACCGGAGATTATATATCAGCAAAACCGATAATCGGTCGATCCCTATAAATTGCGCCAACAAACGTGAAGTGAGAATATTGAAAAATTACTATATAAGACATTAAGATGTGTGTTTATGTTAAGTTTTGGTAGTGTGTGAGAAAGCCATAATCTACATTAAGTCCTTCATTTCTGGTGTTGACATGTGTGATAATTTTCATCTTAAATGTAATTCGTTCAAGAGAGTCTTTGAAATTCCCTTTAAGAACTTTAATCCTGAGGTTTTGGATGGAGTGTCCAGTCTGGGCGAAGTGATGACCAACAGGGGTACAATATCCATTTTCCTAGTGGTTCTTGATTGAGTGTCTGTGTAGATTCATTCTGAGATGCAGCTTAAGGCCAGTTTCTCCAAACCTTTGTCACACACTGTACACTGTATCATGTACACCACATTCGCGGATGTGCTCGAATATGATCCCTTAAAGGGACACTATAGTCACCCAGACCACTTCAGATCAATGAAGTGGTCTGGGTGCCAGGTCCCCCAGGTTTTAACCCTTCAGATGTAAACATAGCAGTTTCAGAGAAACTGCTATGTTTACATTGCAGGTTAATCCAGGATCTAGTGGCTGCCTTCCTGACAGCTGCTAGAAGCGCTTCCGTATATACTCGAGTATAAGCCGACCTGAATATTAGCAGAGGCCCCTAATTTTACCACAAAAAACTGGGAAAACTTATTGACTCGAGTATAAGCCTAGGGTGGGAAATCGAGCAGCTACAGGTAAATTTCTAAATAGAATTAGATCCCAATAAAATTACATTAATTGAATACTTATTTACAGTCTGTGTATATAATGAATGCAGTCTTTGTGTGTAGTGTGTGTATATAATGAATGCAGTGTGTCAGTGTTTGTGTGTGTATATAATGAATGCAGAATGTGTGTGTTTGTGTGAACGCAGTGTGTGTATATAATGAATGCAGTGTGGGTATATAATGCAGAGTGTGTGTGTTTGTGTAGTGTGTGTAAACTGGGTTGGGGGAGGGCATTTTTATTATTTAAATTTTTTAAAATAATTATTTTAATATCTTTATTTTAATTTTCTTTAATATTATTATTTTGATATTTAATTGTTTGTTTTTTTTGTTCCCCCTCCCTGCATGTTACCTGGCCAGGGAGGGGGGCTATATGATTCCCTGGTGGTCCAGTAGCAGTGGGGGAGACGGAGCAAGCTCAGTTTCAGGTGGAAGATCATCATGGAGTGTTTGAGTGAAAAACAGGTGTCAAGGGTGATGGCAGTATTTACAATATCTAAAATCGATGCACTGGAGGCACAGCATTCCTTAGCCAATTGAGCAAATGAAAGAAAAACATTCACAGATATGCGAAGAGTTAAATGAAAAACAGCGAATCTGGGGATATTCAAGTATGTGTACCACTTTCATTCAGCACAAAAACATGTATAAGCAAGGAATGAGCAGGTCACTGATTAGAACTGCCTCCAAGACAAAAGGACGCACTGAACTTACTTGTAGGCTTTCTTTGCAATCAACCAGGACAAAGTGCAAGGCTGTAGTACTTACCTGTGCAGCAGCTCTGTTCACCTCTGTTCATCTCCCCAGTGTAAATCTCGCGGTCTGTGTGCCGGATTACCGTGGCAACGCTCTGACAGCCGCGGGTCTTGCAAGATTTACACTGGGGAGGTGAACGGAGCTGCTGCACAGGTAACAGCTTGCTCCGGCCCCCAACAGGACCGTCGGGCTTGTAATGAGCTCGGTGGTTCTGGTCTGTATTATGGCAATGTAAGTTGCCATAATTCATACAGTCTTACAGTGACTCGAGTATAAACCGAGGGGGGCTTTTTCAGCACAAAAAATGTGCCCAAAAACTCGGCTTATACTTAAAAGGACCACTCTAGGCACCCAGACCAATTCAGCTTAATGAAGTGGTCTGGGTGCCAGGTCCCTCTAGGACCCGTTTTTTTTTTTTTTTTATAAACAAAGCAGTTTCAGAGAAACTGCTATGTTTATAAATAGGTTAATCCAGCCTCTAAAGCCTCTAGTGGCTGTCTCACTGACAGCCGCTAGAGGCGTTTACGTGCTTCTCACTGTGAAAATCACATTGAGAAGACGCTAGCGTCCATAAGAAATAATTATAAATGCTTTCCTATGAGACTGGCTGAATGCGCGCGCAGCTCCTGCTGCGCATGCGCATTCAGCTGAAGAGGAGGATCGGAGGCGGAGAGGAGGAGGAGAGCTCCCCGCCCAGCGCTGGAAAAAAGGTACGTTTAACCCCTTTCCTCTCCCCAGAGCCCGGCGGGAGGGGGTCCCTGAGGGTGGGGGCACCCTCAGGGCACTATAGTGCCAGGAAAACAAGTATGTTTTCCTGGCACTATAGTGGTCCTTTAATGTAGACTCTGGCTTTCTCACACACTAGCAAAACTTTATATAAACACACATCTTAATGTCTTATATAGTTCTTTTTCAATATTCTTGTATCTCGTTTCACCTTTATTGGATCACTTTATATACATACATATATGCAGCAATATGGAGTCTCCACTCTTTCAAAAAATCATTAAAAATCCTCTTCTTCATAAATGCTTATCAATTAAACTGTTAATAGCTCCCGACTGATTCCTCTCTTGCAACTGTCATTAGTCTAATACTGAAAAAATGTGCAGTAGATAAGTTGGCGCAGAAAATTAAGATAAAATATAAATAGGTTTGCAGCACCCACAATATACCAAGGTAATAAGGTACAGGAACAATCACAAAACAGAAAAGAGCTAGTGCGCATACATATGTATAGAACCCCTCAAGTGTTGAGAAGTATTTACAAACAGATGAAACAGTGCAAGCAAGTGTGATCCCTTATAGGGTGTCTACAAGCCCAGGTATATATGTGTGTATACTTATAGCCTGTTACACTGTACAGTTGATATCTGTAGTTAAGGAGAGAAAAGTAGGGTGGAGGGAACAGAGAAAGCACTCCTAGTGCAATACAGTTATTAAAATTTAAAATAAGATAAAATGCCTCTTTAAAAATAATTTTGGTTTATGTTACAAAATGTGTAATTAAATAGAATATATTTACCTCCAAGTGGGGGTCCTATTAGAAGAGGAACACACTCCACAATGGTGACAAGCCCAACAGCACTGGAAAATCGTTTGACGCCAACAAGATCCATCAGAGTTTCAAATAGCAATGCACACACCATGCCAAAACCCAATCCAAAAAACACAGAGTACACCACCAAACCTGCATAGTCTCCGGCTATCGGGCACATGAGATGGCAGAATCCATTAAATACAACAGAAGCACTGAAAAAATATTGAATTCTTGGCCTGATCCACTTGGTGTTGGCAACGATTCCTGTAAGTGGTCTGGCAAACATATCAACTATGGCAAGTATTGATAAAAGAAAGGCTGATGAGTATTCATCAACCCCTAGATGCTTTGCATATGGTGTTAAAAATACAATTGGAGCATAAAATGCAAGAAACATTATAACATTTCCAACAAGGTAAATTAAGAAGCCTCGGTGTTTAAAAAGGGTCAAATCAAGGACTTTGTTAAATTTTTGCATACAGCTTTCTTCCTTCTTTTCCTTTAGTTTCCCTGTTTCCATAAAGCCAGCACTTGCTTTATCACCACCTTTGTCTTTTTGTTTTTTAGATTTTAGAACTGTGGGTCCAATAGGACGAAACAGAGCACCAGCCACACAACAGTTCAAGAGCAGGGCTCCCAGGATGAGAAAACTCCCTCTCCACCCATACTCGTCGAACAAATACTGATTCAGAGGTGCCAACGTAGAGAGTACGACTGGACTTCCTGCCATTGCTAGGCCATTTGCAATTGGTCGCCGTTTCAAGAAGTACTTTCCAATCACGATAACTGACGGCTGAAGGTTTAGAGAAAATCCAAAGCCTGTAAGACAGAATAAACAGAGATTTGCTACATTATATAAAAATAAAATGCCAATTTTTTATGAAAGTTAAACTGGAGTTTTGGTGTAAATTGTATACTTTTGAGCATGTGGTAAAATCTTAAAGAACCATTTCAAAACACTTCAAAGGCCATCAAGTGTAACATATCATGCAACCCAGTTGTTCCTTCCAAAACAAAAAGCAAACACATTGTAGCAATTTCACATATTGCCCTTAAAGGTGATAAAACAAACTGCCCTGAAACAAAGTAATTGATATTAATTATATTAAAGGGAAGCTTTAATAACTAAAATAGCTTCAGTGTAAAAGGAACATTCCTGACACCATAACAATTACAAAAAGTAGGCAAAAATAAATTATGAAAAACATTTCAACTCATATATTAAAAATTATACACTGATAGTTAAAACATAAAAATCCCTTTTCTAATATTGTGTAGGTAACCCTCTCGAGCTCCCGAAATAGCTCTAATGCGTCAATACATGTACTCCACAACACCTCTGAATGTGTCCTGTGGTATCATTTAAGTCCTGCAAGTTACAATGTGAGGATTTTTTTGTTCCAGCACATCCCACAGATGCTCAATCGGATTAAGATCTGAGGAATTTGGAGGCACCTTGGACTCTTTGTCGTGATCCTCAAAGCATTCTTGAACAACTTTTGCAGTGTGGTGGGGTAACTTATCGTGCTGAAAGAGGTCACTGCCATCATGGAACACCATTGCCATGAAGAGGTGTATGCAGTCGTCAGCAATCTCTAGATAGGTGGTTCTTGTCAAAGTAACAACCACATGAATGCCAGGACCCAAGGTTTACTAGCAGTTTATTGCTTAAAGTGCAACACTGTCCCGCCGGCCTGCCTTCTTCCCATATTGCATCCTGCTGCCATCTCTTTTCCAGGTAAACAATACATACGTATCTGACCATCCACCTGATCTAAAAGAAAACATGAGTCATCAGCTCATGCAATCTTCTTCCATTGCTCCATGGTCCAATTCTGTCCCAATTGAAGGTGCTTTTGGTGGTGGATAGGAGTTATCATGGGCAGTCTGACCACTTGCTGCTATGCAGCCCCGGACCAATATATCCCACCCCTTGACAAGTGTTTCAATATAATCCATGTTACCGGTCAGTGGTTTTAATGTTGTGGCTGATCGGTGTATATAGTTACATTTTCAATTTAAAATATGACATCTAGTAAATAAACACATATGAATCTCTCCTTCTGTAGATGGATAAAAAAAAAAAAATGCCACTGCCACTGTTAAATACAATATAAAATATTTTTTTTTTAAATAAAATTTTAGTAAATACATCCCCCTCAAAAAAAAAAAAAAAACACAAAATCCACGCCAAAACATATAATTTGTTGCTATGAATGTTTATAAGGGACCATGCAACACTTTTATAGAAAAGACATTTTGAGAGTAAAAAAAAAATGTAAAAAAAAAAAAATTGAATGCCAACCAATCTTTTAGATAATAATCAATTAAAAGATCCTATTATCTGCTCATTAATTTTCCAGTGACACAAATCTAATTTATTATAATTTCATTTTAGCAGCATTAATTAGTATGTGATAGCTTCCCACTCAGCAGTGCTCTTGCTGACTTGTCATTAAAAATGCTTCTAAGTCACTAACTAAATTTAAGTTGTAAATGTAACTCTAAAATCTCTTTTCAGTAAACGGTCACAGAAGTATATACACAGAGGCCAAAATTCCAATATTGTTATTTTTCAAAATTTTATTTTAGCATGCATTAAATTTAATTGAATTTGAAAAAATATAAAGAAGTGCAAAATTATTAAGCAAATACATTATTAATTAATTAAATTCATTTTAAACCAAACAAAATACCTGACCATTACACCATTGGACTTTTATCCCAAAGGATTCTAAATACATAGACATTAATATTCAGTTTCTCCCCCTCTTGCAGCTATAACAGCTTCCACCCTTCTGGAAAGGCTTTCCACAAGATTATCGAGTGTCTCTCTGGGAAAATTTGCCCAATCAAAAAGCACTCCTGTTGAACAAGAAGGCCTTGCTAGCAATCTTCATTCCAGTTCACCCAAAAGGTTCAACACTAAACTCATCCAACTATGTCTTTATGGACCTTGTTATGTGCACTGTGGCACAGTCATGCTGGAATAGAAAAAGGCCTTCCCCAAACTGTTCCCACAAAGCTGGAAGCATGTAGAAAATGTCTTGGTATACTGAAGTATTGAGGTTTTTCTTCACTGGAAGTAAGGGTTCTAGCCCAAACCCTGAAAAACAGGCCCATACCACTAAAAAGTTATTTTGGCATGCACAAAACCCAGAATCGCCAATCAGACTGTCAAACAGAGAAGAAGGATTGTACTCAGTGATGTGAGGCTTCCATGCTGCACCATTCCATGAACCTCCCACTGCACAGTTTTTGTGCTGATATTAATGCGTGTGGAAGTTTGGAACTCTTCAGCTATGGAATCAACAGAGCTTTGGTGACTTTTACGCACCATGTGCATCAGCACTCAGTGACGCCACTCTGTGACTTTACTTTGTCTTCTACCGAAACATCTACTCAGAATATGGGTTGGACCTGCCAAAGTCCAGATGGGTAGTTGAGAATGACAGGGCTGAGATCCTGTGGTTCTTCCAGATCCAGACAGACAAGCAAGTACTGGCATCATGGTAGTTGACAAGGAACAGAAGACTGCAGTCATGGTGGATGTGGGAATACCCAGTGACGAGAACATTTAGTCATGGAACATTAAAGGTGGAAAAACGAAAAGCTAGAAAGGATGTGGAAAGTAAAGGTAATTCAAGTCCCAGTTCTGATAGGAGCACTCAGGGCTGTGAGTCCCATGTTGGGGGAGTGGCTTCAGATTCCAGGTGGGACATCTGAGATCGCTGTCCAGAAGAGTGCAGTGCTAGGAACAGCTAAGATACTGCACAGAACCCTCAGACACCCAGGCCTCTGTTACAGGAAGGATCCGAGAATGAGGATAATGTTCCCAAATGATTTATTTTTGCCATTTGCATCATTCTTCCCAGAAAAGGGGCATACCCGCCCAGTGACAGGCTGCTGGCCTGTGCCTAACCATCAGCACTGCTGAAACGCTCCATGCATTGTCCTAGTGCTCACTGCACAGCACACTGTGCTGCCCGGGGACAGTTCCCTGGTTTCCCCAGATGCGGGACACCAGGGAATTAAAGCAAGTCTACCTTATTTGGTCAAGGCAAGTCCTATAGATCAATTCATGTTTTTAGATCAGCTATTTCTGCAGTCCACAACCCTATTGACAATGCATCAATAGGAAAACACCCATCAGTTTGTAGACTTGTACGAGGGATCAGGCTAGTCAGACCCCCTCTTCCTAAATATTCCAATTTCTGGGATGTCGCTCAGGTTTTTTACCCTTTTAGAATCCTGGCCCTCTAATGAGAATTTGACGTTACGTCAACTCTCTGCCAAACTGGCCTTACTTCTTTGTCTGGTATCCTTTCATAGGGTCTCCGACATTCGAGCATTTAGGCGTTAAATTTCACATCACTAGGCGAAGACTAATTCCTCCACTGTATTCTACCCTTATTTTCCGAATAGACAGTCACTCTGTGTGGCGCTCTGTTTAAGGCACTATATAGCTGCCACAACCACTCTGCGTCCCCCTACAAGACTTCTTCTCGTGTCCTATGTCAAACCACACAAACCGGTGTCCGCTCCCACAGTCACACGGTGGATCAGATGGATACTAGCCCAAGCAGACATTGACTCTTCTTTTAATGCGCATTCAGTCAGAGGAGAAGCCGCGTCCTCAGCCTTTTGTGCTGGTAGCTCCTGCTCAGACATTTTGTCGTCTGCGGATTGGTCCAGGGAGTCTACTTTTCGTACATTCTACTTCAAACCTATGCCACATGCTGCATCTTGTATCATATAGGAGCGTTAAAACAGCAAATATGAAGCCTCCTGTCTTGGTTTTCTCTACTTCCCTTTAGTGTGAAGAACCCCAACGCTTGTGATTTATGGATCCATCAATCCCGTTGAAAGTTTACATGGTTGACTACATCAGGACTTCGACTTAGTCCACAGTTCATAGTTATGGTTTACATGGTTGATACTTGGATACCGTCGGCTACAGCAAGAAAGAGTATTTGGGAGGAGCTTCATGACATCATATAATACTGTTATACACTCTGATTGGTTAAATTGTTTTACACTATTGTTAACCATTTCTTTGCTGCTGGGAGGTTCAGTAAAGAAAGATAAGCAAATATTCGCCTCCTGTCGTTAATAAAATTTAGATTATTCAGTCACTAGGGCTAGAATAATCCCTAATTTTTCCCATAGAGATGCATTGATTCAATGCATCTCTATGAGGAGGTGCTGATTGGTCAAAATGGTGTTTGGCCCGCCCCCTTGCCAGTTTTAGCCAATCCAATGCTTTCCCCATGGGAAAGCATTGGATTGGCTAAAAATCTCCAATGTTGATGATGTCACTCAGGGGCTGGGCTAGCGCCGGCGGACCCATGGAGAGCTGAAAATAAGGTTAGTTTTAACCCATTCTGAAGGCAGGGGGGGGGGGGGCAAGCCACCTAAATGGTGGGTTTTCACCATAGGGTCAGGAATGCATGTTTGTGTTCCTGACCCTATAGTGATCCTTTAAATACACCTTTTAGTCTTTACATCTAAGCGGTCTACTTTAAAGTCCACAAATATGTTCATGAAAGGCTACAAAATCCTGGAAGAGATAGAAAATATTCTGGAAACTACAGTATATCTGTAAATGTATACATGCGCTGTCAATTTCTAGTACATTATTATTATTATGTACAAACATTTCAAAAACAAATACTTTTTTCCTACTTCAGTTCTTTAACCTGATTTACAGTCAAGCAGGAGGAAACATTTGTAATTTTGTGCCGTTTGTAAAGAAGGATAAAAAAAACCTTGCAAATAAAATTTCTGTTTTCATATAAATTTCAATAAAATAATCAGTTCATCGGTTCAACCTTGCAGTGCATCAATGAATTCATACATTAAAAAGATTACATGAAATAATAGTTTTATTACCTGCAATAACACCAACGCATATGTAAAGCTGTAAAATACTTGTGCTGAACGTAGCTAGAATCATACCAATCGAACTTAAAAAGCCTCCAAAGATAACTACGGGTCGACTGCCATATCGATTCACCAAGATACTGCCAATAGGACCTGCAATAAAAAAAGCAAATAGTTATGTTATTGCTTAAACTGCAGTGTTTAAAAATACTATTAAAAATATTAAAAACTGCAGTGTTTAAAATACTAACATACAATCAAATTAAAGAGCCTTATGTTTCATCTAAACAGTGTTCTAGCAGAAATGCTAGTAAATTTATACATTTGTTTTAAATATTACCCCCTCCCCTCCCACCCCCAGATGGTTAAATTTGATCTAGTCCAGATAAAATGTTCCAAATAGACATGTAATAATGCAATGGAAATTAGTGTTGCTGTGTAAATATGGGTAGGATGTGGTTAGTTTGAGATATCCCCTGTAACCTTAACTTATTTGTAATGAGCTGTGCTATGAGGTCACGATGAGTTTGTCTACCACTGACGAGTCCTATCACAGGTTGCTTCCATGAGGAGTATGATTACTGTTTGCATTCACTGACCATGGTAAACAATTCTGACATTCAATGACGTGCAAAGGGCTGGTCACCTGAAAACGTGTTTACATTTATTGACAGAATGTAAGATTACTGTATGCATGCACGCAGTTTTATTAAGAGTTGTAAGTATTTTTTTTTTCCCCAATACTAAATTATCACCTACATTTTTCTTGTCTTTTCTGCTTCAATATCTAGCTCTAGCATATACTTTTTGTCAGATCTTTGAAAAGAAAAAAAATGAAAAACATTTCCATATAAATAAATCAGAAGACAATAGTTTAATTTCTATAGCCAATAAAGTAGACAGGTATCAATAGTTAAATTTTTTGTTTGTTCTTTATTCTTGCTAATGTCTTCAATGTATTTCAAAGGAACACTACAGCATTAGAAAAAGAAAACTGTATTCTAATGCTATAGTGTCCCTCTGCCTCCACGGACCCCTCGTGTGATTGACAGGTCAAAATATATATTTTTTTTATTTACCTGTTCCCAGCACCAAGGTCCCTTGGCACTGGATGAATCTTTCACTCCAGAAATCTAATGTGAATTTTAGATGAGCTCAGCAAGCACATTAGACCTTCACAAAGGAAAGCATTAAATTAATGCTTTCCTATGGGGATTTTGAGGTTGCTGGACATCCAACATAGTTTCATGGAGTTGAACTGCAATGAAACTGCAATGTTTTGCCTTGCTTTACACTGCAAGATTAAGGGGACAAGAGCACTGCACCAAGTCCACATCAATGAAATGAAGTGGTCTTGGTGCCTAAAGTGTAACTTTAACCCGCACAAAAATAAAATTACACATATACATACACGGCCAGTTGAGGGGAGACCAGCACGGCGTAGAAACCCCCCCCCCAAAAAAGCACTATTTTTTAAACAGACAGACACACCTACCATGACACAGACACACACCATGACACACACACACACACCATGACACACACACACGGTGACACTGCTTTCTTGCAGTCCTCTGTTAATGAGTGCAAGGAAGCAAATATCGTGGTCTGCAAGGGATAGAGGTGCAAACCTCAGGCTCCCCCACAGTTCCTAAAAGGGACACTATAGCCATCAGGACCACTACAGCTTAATGTCCATTCAAGATCATGGATGTGGGTCTAGCCAAGCGAGACCAGCGAGCTGACGGAGAAAAGGTAAGTTAAATACCTTTTCACTTAATGCTGCAAAGCACATTTTGAAAAACTTAATTAAAAAGTCATAGGTTAGTTATTTTAGCCCAAGTGCTGCAATTTCATTTTGATTTTGTAAAACTCATTGTTTAGCAAATACGTCTCCAAAGTGCCTTAAAATGCCTTAATGGCAATTTAAAATAAAGCTCAATGATTTTTTCCAAAATTAGGGTGGGTCATTAAGTATTCCAGTGCTTTCCAGTAGAACCCTGCACATGTAGAATAACCTGCCAGATAACATCAAATGATAACATCTACATCTATTTTTAAACAAAAATCAACTGCATTAAAAGGACCACTATAGTGCCAGGAAAACATATTCGTTTTCCTGGCACTATAGTGCCCTGAGGGTGCCCCCACAGGGTCCCCCTCCCACCGGGCTCTGGGGGGAGGAAGGGGTTAAACTTACCTCTTTCTCCAGCGCTGGGTGGGAAGCTCTCCTCCTCCGCGCGCGCATTCAGCCTGTCCATAGGAAAGCATTCATAATGCTTTCCTATGGAGGCTGGCGTCTTCTCCCTGTGAATATCACAGTGAGAAGCGCGGAAGCCCTCTAGCGGCTGTCAATGAGACAGCCACTAGAGGCTGGGTTAACCCATTTTTAAAAAGGGTTAATCCTAGCTGGACCAGGCACCCAGACCATCTCATTAAGCTGAAGTGGTCTGGGTGCCTATAGTGGTCCTTTAATTGCTACAAACATAATTTCAGAGCCAATTTACCTATAAGGCCGCATAGGCATCCGCCTAGAGCCTGGAGCTTCGGCACTAGCTGGGAGAGTGCCCTCCTTGACTCATCAAGCAGATAAAAGATCTCCCTGCTCAGTTCTATGCTCTTCACTACATTGAGGGGGCTTTACTTTTAGAGTTTCCTTAAATCCCCTAGCCATTCTCAATAACTCAGAGCCACAGCCAGTACTCAGATTTATTGAGGAAACACCGGATCGTGAGGTAGCTGTTAAAGTGATATGCACCCAATACTAGTGCAGACCAATGTCATAAGGCCACCAACCTTAAAGCCACAGAAACACCATCAGAGTTATTTACTAAAGTGAGAATTGTTGGGAATTCAAAAGGAAATTCTAGGTTTAAGGTCAAAAATAACCAAATTGAAAAGTTGCTCTAAGTCGGCAAGGCCTTATATTTGAAATTCACTTTGAATTCTTAACAATTCTCATTTTAGTGAATAATCTGTATATCAGGGCTCAACCTCAAGCCCTTTTAGATAACAATATACTTTCCACTTAGTTCAAACACATATAAAGATAATCTTAGACTCACAAGGAGACCAAGATACATTAACATTCTCAAGTCATAAACTCTATCTACAGGTTATATTTATGACTTTTAAGGTTTTATAGTTTAAGGGTTTAGCTTTTGCCTTCACACAAATTATGGGGGTTAAATACACTGAATACCTTTAGAGTTAATACTTTACAACATGCTTAGCACCTGTGATTGTATATTGCATATTATTAAGTAGATATGGCATCCACTGATACACTTTTATGCCTGTTCTTCAGATAATGTGAAACACATATTTGTAATATGTATATCCAAGCAGGAAATTGTAATTTTGACAGAAATTTATAAGCGAAAAGAAAATGTATAACAAACTTTTGAAAAATAACACCGATTTTGTGCAACAAAAATGTCCAAAATAAAATGCATCAACTAAGATGTGTGATTACAAACAAAAAGTTAACTTAAAGTACCATAACCACTAAAGCCTATTGTAATATTTATGGTGCATTGAGTCTCAGGGTGTCGTCCCCTTTCAGTAATATTAAACTGTTTGAGCAAAAGAGGTGATTTAATCCAGTGGTTACAGCTTATCATTGCCATACAAAATTGGACAGATAAGGGAGTAAGAATTCCTCATTACCTCTGTATGATAGGGGGCAGACTTTGCGTGCCAGATCAGTTTGTTCTGTAAATTCATTTAAAAATTCAACAAACAAATAAAACAGTCCCATAACAAAAATTATACACAGATCCTAGAAAAGGGAAGCAATACAGTCAATAATGCAATTCCTTAGTATGCAGTATTGGAGACCGTATCTCCAGAAGGATATACACACACCTTTACAGACTTGATGTCCCGCACGCACCGGGACTATGACCACCAACGCACTAGCGACAACACCGACAGGAACTACCAAATATCTATCGTGGAACACCGAATGATACATGACGAACTCACACGTGACCATAAAGCGGACTGGGGGTTGGCGGGAACCACGGGGACCGCATGTTGCAGTACATGTGCGTTACGACCCCTCACACAGACACCAATAGGGCTACGCCCCACCGACGGTGCTATGACGCTTATACGCACAATTGCCCTCAGTACTGTAAGAGCAATCGAGGCACATGCAGATGAACGTACACACCCACGGGGGGGGAGGGGTCCCAACCCAGCACACACGCCTGCCCTATTGAGGCGTATAATACCTACACAGGTCTCCACCGTACGCAGAACACTGGGTTGGATAGCATTCCTATGTCACTCACTGATCAACTGACAGCAGGGGCAATATCACAGTGCCTATTCTGGACCTTACTGACCAATTGCCATTAATATGAGGTGTGCTTATATGATTATCACTGCCTGGATGATCCGCATGAAATCAATTGGCTCCAAATATTTTATGTTTCATTTAAGCCTGCTCCCAAGGTTATTCTTGCTTACTGGGATTACACTCTTTGCAATAGATTTGGTGGTACTCCCGCATAGCGAGGTGCGGCAGCGCTGTAATACATTAAGTATCAGTGGTTTCACCCTCACCTTTTAAAGAGCACATGCCATACTCCGCTGAAAGAGTCCAACCTCTAGTCTTTAACCTAGAAATGTCGGATAACACGTTACTTTTCTGCAACTCATACATCAACTGTATACCTTTATTATGACCAAAGTTAAGACATAATTGATTCAATTGTTTCAGTAACCAACAAAATGTGCAGATTATTACCCTGCTAAGTTTGACCATAATTCCCTCTTTCTATTGTATAAGTTTGTAAAATGTAATTGTTCACTGGTATTACCGTCACTGCACTTCAAAAATAAAGAATGTAAAAAAAACAGTAAAGGAGGAGAATATATTTAAAAGAAGGAAAACTACCACAACAAGAGGACATAGTCTTACATTAGAGGGGCAAAGGTTTCAAAATAATATCAGGAAGTATTACTTTACAAAGAGGGTCGTGAATGCATGGAAAAGCCTTCCAGCTAAAGTGGTAGAGGATAACACAGTGAGGAAATTTAAGCATGCGTTAGATAAGGCTAATGAAAGTATTAAGAAAATTGGGCAGGCTAGATGTGCCGAACTATGTTTTTATGTTAACCCTTACTTACTCTCTCCGGTCTTTTGCTCACCCCCAAACCCATTTAAAACCTTCTCTATAGAATCTGACAGTGGGCACCCACTTTAATGATGGCTCCTTAATAGATGCCCACAGCTTTGACTTTATAATGCTACCCTGAGAGTGGACTTAAAAACAGCGCGAAAATTTTCTGATGATCAGGGAGTTAAGCAATAATAGTCGATTCCCAACAAGAAATCAACAATACGCCTTCCTTTTAAAATCATTAAAGTGTTTCCCCCTGGCGCTATTTGATGCCAGCAAAGCACATATTGTTTATTTGCCAGTCCAAAGGTCATATTAATTCATTCAGTAGACAAGTGACAAGTGGAATGATTTTAGTAATTTAATTAATTTGTTGGCAGGTGTAAAACATTGAAAACATTTTTACAAACTACAGTGACTATTTATCCTGTTTGCCGCATTGACATTAGCATAGCAAGAATATTTTATGTCATTATTACGCCATGTAAAAAACATGTCCAGTATTACTAAATGTAATTGTGCTTATCTCGTTTACTGAACTGCATAATTATAAGCGATCGGTATACTAAAGTGTCAATTAGAATCGGAATCAATATCCAGTCCTATGCATCGTTCAGTATAAGGGTATTTTATCAAGCAAGCTGCTTATTAATATAATTTACTCTCGGAGTGCTTTTGAATTTGACATCAACTCTTAATTACTTATGAGAGATGTTTTATAACATGAACAGAGCTCATTAAATGGAAATTAACCCATGACTACATATGTCACAATAAAGCAAAACACTAATAAAGAAAAGAACAAAAGAAATGCATTATGATATTTTCTTAAACTTACCAAAAACATTTCAGCAGTTTTTCTAGATTTACATTGACATTTCCTGCGCTGGGTTGGTGATAGTTTTCATTTTGCACAACCAACAAAATGATACCGTAGCAAATATGACGCTGTGATATATAAAACTAACCCCTTCACTATCACATGATCACATCATCTACAGTCTGCATGCAAGGACTGTTGGCGAAGAGTGACACTTAGTCATACAGCATCAATAAATGTACAGTACATGATCTTTTTTTTTTCCCTGAAAGCGAATTTAAAGTTTGGACCAAAATAACCAAGATGTAACATAGTCGAGTTTGGACACATTAAATTTTGGCCTAAAAAATGAAATTTCTTCTAAATTCTATTAACACGCTACTGAATAACTCTGCAACTGTGTAATGACAATATGCGAACAATGCAATGTAAACAGAATGCAATTCTTTTGCGCGAGTCACCAGAACAACAGCTTCATGTAGTTGTTGTGGTGAGTATATTGTAATCATTATATGCAGGCATTTTCATGCAAACACTGCCTTTTCAGACAAGCTTTGACACGGCTTGACTGTCTTTTTGTCAAGCAGAGGAAAAAATACAGAGACAAAAAGTAGTCCCTACTTTGTCTCACTATAATTTTTTACAGGGTTGGAATTTAAGTTAAATTCCAACACAGTCAATTTGGATATATTATAAAGATTTGATCTTTATGAATTACTTCTTTTGGAGGCGGTGGGGTTTTCCCTAAAATTACAAACTACACACTCACAAACTCCCTGCGCACTGAAGGAAACGGAGGAGACAGTTAAGATGTTTTTTTACCCCTTAAAGACAGAGCGTGCTTTGCCGTCCTATAAAAGGAGGGCTTGAACACCTTTGGAGCGGCATAGTACGCCCCAATGATCAGGCCTTCCCAAGAGCAAGGATACCTGCCCTTCGCAGCTATCGAGATGATACTGCAATCATCAGTTTATTTATTTTTTATTTAAAAAAAACATAATATATTTACATCTTGCCCCTCACACAATCCCTCCAGACATATTCACACACACAGCAACAGCACCCTCACACTAACAGCACCCTCAGACACACACATATATATATAAAATAATACTAATTTGTTTTTCTAATTACCAAGATGTCCCTTAGTCCATTTTAGAGCAATAAAGGGATTTGTTTATTTATATATACTTGTGTGTTTTTGTAAAGGTGTTGAGCATAACAACTAACTGCCTCTCAAATTATATTCAATTTATATACTTAATTTGATAGATCAATATACTCATATGATTTTATTTAATGTCCAGCTATCTAATATAAAAGATAACAATTATCAAATTTCTCTAAAAGGGCTTGAATGTTTAGTATTGTAATGCTCAATTCCTATATGATAAAATACTGTATTGCCATAAAGTTGATACATCATGTATTCCTTTGTTGAAATTAATTTTATTTATTATTGCCGTCAATGAGTAGTAGATGTGGAGTTTTCATTCGGTCCGCTATACCGGAAGTGACGTCATGCGGAAATAGACTGAGTTCCAAGGTGGAACGCACGCCACCACCGGCAAGCAATTTTCTTATTCCATGGTGGATATAAAAGGAAAATCCAATTGAATCAGAGCCACACATCCCTGAGGAAGTCCAGAAGAGGACGAAACGCGTTGGAACGGTTTATTTGTTCATATGAACTTTTACTTTTTATTTTATTGTTGCTGGTACTGTTTGCAATCCTTTGTTGTGATTGGATTAGCTGAAATACGTGGATACCACCTGGTGTGGAGATATGCTGCTGTTGTTTTGAAACATTGTAAGTGCAATACATGTAATAAATTGTTACCTTTTATACAATCTGCACTATCATTTTTTCTCCCTTCTATTTGGAGTAAGCCAGAAGACCTGTTACTTTCTATCCAGTCCCTCACACTTCTCTAATTCCCTAATATCAAGGGAGATATGCCTGAATTCATCTTAATCTTGTGAGTTCTCTACCACCCTCACCCTTTATATGTTTTAATGGTATTACACTATATATTTTTATATTTCTTCCTATAGATATATTTCTAAGGCAGAATACACCTACGTCATCCATACTATTGTATTTTGACTCTCTGTAACGGAACACTCTAAAAACCTTGGGTACTCTGTGTATTATAGCACTAACAGTTAACTCTGTTTTCTGTATATATAAAATAACCCTCAGTGAGTTAACAGACAAAGAAAATTAGAAACATAGAATGTGACGGCAGATAAGAACCCCCTTACATACACATTTTCAAAAAAAAATTAATATCAAAATACACTTAGAATAAAATTATATTATATATGAATTTGATTATAAATGTATTTTGTAGATTTTTTTATGAATTATATATTGGAAGACCTGCCTGACAACCCAGGCAGAAATACTAGATAATTTAATTTGCAAGCCCTATATTTGCCCATGTAACTTTCTAAAACTCCATAAAATCTGTACATGAGGAATAATGTTGTACTAGTGAGACGTCGCTCAACACAAATATGGGTGTTTTAGAGCAGTTAAAGGACCACTATAGGCACCCAGACCACTTCAGTTTAATGAAGGAGTCTGGGTGCCAGGTCCATCTAGGATTAACCCTGCCTGCTGTAAATATGTTTTTATATATGGGTTAATCCAGCCTCTAGTGGCTGTCTCATTGACAGCCGCTTGAGGTGCTTCTCACTGTGATTTTCACAGTGAGAAGACGCCAGCGTCCATAGGACGCTACATAGGACGCTACATAGGCGTGTACAGCCTATTGCATTGGGATGTCCCAATAATCAATATACTATGAATTGCTTTAATTGTATAATATTACCCAGGTTTGTATAATATTTTGCACCATGCCAAATGGAAAGTCTATACTGCACCAGTTGAGAGAAAGAACTGGCAAGTGTAGATTCAGATCCACCAGACTGTGCGGAATTCGAATTCAATTTCTCCATCATCACAGAAAATCCTCCTAAAACACTCATAGGTTCAATGGGATGCAATACAGTTCTTCTCAAACCAATCAAGGAACATTTCAACATGATTAGGTTATCTTAGATTTTGGATGGACTGATTACTACTTTGAATGAAAATGTTTTCAATTGCTGTTTGCATAAGGTACAAAATAATCCAATGGACAATACTATGCAATTAACTGTTTGGCGTTTATTTTTCTCTGAAGTTGTGGTAGCCATATGTGGACTTCTACACTATGGTCAGAATATGGACATACTGTGTTGTCTAGAAAAATGTTTTTTACTCACCACCAGCATACATGACAGCAAGCAAGAGGGACGATATCCAAGCAATCTCACTGTAAGAGGCTCCAAAAAAATCCTGGATTTCTTTGAAGAAGACTGTTACTGCTTTGCAGAAAGCATATGAAAAGCCCATGGATATGAAAGCACCAAGTACAACAAGCCACCCCCAGCCGCCATCTGGAGGGGTGTACCCCATATCTGCACTTGCCGCAGGAGCCATAGTGAATTCAAAACTCCGTTACCATAAAAACCTGCAAAACAGAAATACAGTGTCATATAGACCTTGTGTGACTAGGTGTTAAAAAGTTTGATTTTTTTTACTTTTTAATAAATTGATCAGTAAAATAAATCAATTATTTTCCAAAACAACGAGTTGTCAACTATTTGCAAAAGTCACTCTAAATAGTCAATTGGAAAAGAAAATCTCCTTTGTAGCATCAAAAGATCTTCAACATGGTCTCCTTCAGCCCTTGTTTCTGTTCTGTATATCAAATGTTGTCAATTAGCACTATAAAAAATAGTAATAATAAACTGTATACTGTGATCTTGTGACATCTTCAGCAGACCCTTGCTTGTACTCTCAGAGCTGAACAAGAGTACACCAGTAATGCGACTCTTTTTAGGTATAGTTGGATAGAGCGGAAGATGGAGGACTATGTGATGGAACTATGATGGAAGCGTTAGCACCTTTCTTCTGCGATGACACCAAGAAAGCAGACAGGTTATTAAGCCCCTCTCCCCTGCCCTACAGTGTTAATTTAAGTGGGTAGCTTGAGGTAAAAGCATAGCTTAAGTGTTTTTAACCCCTTAAGGACACATGGCATGTGTGACATGTCATGATTCCCTTTTATTCCAGAAGTTTGGTCCTTAAGGGGTTAAAGGAACTCTATAGCTAAAAAGGAAAATAAATATCCCCATACTTTTTAACGCAATAAACAAGTAGTGCATTAAAATAATAGGGACAGTCTATTTTGGACCTACATCCCTCTGTCCTTCATTTCTATCCTAATGTCCATATTGTTGTTATGTTTGTGTGTATAACAGGGCTTCAAAGCAATAATAATTACAGTAATGTGTCTTTAAACCGCAACAAAGGTGTTTAGAAATCCTTCTGTGTAAACAGGATACATTGTTCTTGTTCTAATTTATGTACTTGTTTCATAAATTACTATTAGTAAGTCATCTGAAATTTCTCAGAACAGCCTTGTCCCTGGCCACACACCCCACATACTCCATTCCCATAGGGGAAGCATTGGATTGGCTGAAATCGGCAAGGAAGTGGGGCAGGGGTCAAATGCCAGCTTGGCCAATCAGCAACTCCTCATAGAATCAATGCATCACTATAAGGATAGTTCAGCGTCTCCGCTGAACGGCAGTGCTGCACGCTGTGCAGTACTACCCCAGGATCACCTCCAGTGGCCATCTGTGGAGTGGCCACTGGAAGTGTACACACTGCCTTTTGTCTGAAAAGGTAGTGTTTGCATTAAAATGCCCGCAGTGAATGATTATACTCACCTGGACAACTACATTAAGCTGTAGTTGTTCTGGTGACTATAATGTTTCTTTAAAGTGTCTCTCTTTGTCCATTTGAAATGAGAGGTATGGAACTGCTTTGCCTTTGGATGATGTGTGGACCAAGGTGAAGAGAGAGAGCACATCAGCCATACAGTGTGTCCGCAATGTGCATCCTCCACACACAAGAGATGCAAAACTGTTACAAGGCACCCCAAAGTGTTCTTTTTCCGGCAGCCCACCAAGACTGCACGTAGGCTATCTTACAGCCGCAGCCATTGTTACAAATAGCAGCGTAAACCCTCATTCAGAAAGTAGGGGCCATGGTGCTCTAAGTATCATGCACTTTGCAAGAATGTTTTTCATTTAAAATGAATCTAACAATTAACTGAGATTGCTGATGTCTGAAATGGACAACACTGGGCACTAGAGGCAAATGCACATACTATTAGTATTTATATAATTAATCTCCTCTGTCAAATGGAACCTATACATGGTGAAGTGCTGAAATGATGCAGGTTAACACAGTGAAGGAGTTTAAGCATGCGTGGCATAGGCAAAAGGCTATACTAAATATAAGATAAGGCCAGGGACTAATGAGAGTATTTAGTAAATTAGGCAAACAAAATGGGCCGAATGGTTCTTATCTGCCGTCACATTCTATGTTTCTATTTGCTTGAGTTTCAGAGTGCAGAGTTCCCATTTTCTTCGAAATGGGCTAAATGATCACGGATGAATCCTAGCACCAGGTTATAAAATGCTTTAAGAAGTTATTAAGAATATTTTTTTTTTATTTTTTTTTAAATCCCTCTTAATTAATGAAGTATTAACCAGAATTATTAAGAAATTAACTTGATAGTGTTTCATAAATTGATTAGAACTGACAAGTTAATTTAAAGTTTTCAGGGCAAAAAATAAAAATTGTAGAAAGACAAACTTTTTCCAGTTTGCTATTTTGTCTAAATATTCCACTCCCTTATAAATCGCCACAGTTATCAGTTTAGTGAGTAAATTGCCTCTGTGCTTTTACATTTCAGGACAAACAGGGTCAGAGAGTAATCTTAACTTCAGTTTCCCAGCTGACCACTCCTACTTTGGCTACAGCACCTTATAACTGTCCTTAAGACTGCAACTTTGAGCATTTTTATACCTTCTGTAAGCTTAAAGAGACATATCTTTTAAAAGCTGTTGGATTTTTTATTTAGGCTAATTTTACAGTACAGTTATTGTACATTTGCAATTCAGTTGTCAGTTGGTGCTAGTCCATCATTCCTAATAAACATAGGGGCTTATCCAATAAACACTGAATTTAAAGCCGAACTGAAAAACATAGGCAAAAATAGGCAAATTGCAACCTTTCTCCAATTAAGCTATAATCACCGCTCGGCTATTTTAGCCTAAATTTTACAATTCCTATTCACTGCAGTTTGAGGTTTAGTGAATAAAGACAATAGTTTGGAACTTTTACATATTAAAACAGAGGTGCAATTTTACCATCATTGACCAGACAAATTGTAAATCCAGTGCGGAGATTGGCTGACAATGATTTTGTAATGACTTTCAGGGTTATGAACTATAGTGAGAATTGTTAGTTTTTTTAAGTAAATTTCAAATTTAAGGTTAAAAAAAGAAATCTTATTTGGAAAGATTCTCCAAGTCTGCTATGCTTCTAATTCTGTTATTTTATTTTGACATATTCAATTTCACTACAGAAGGGAGCATAAGTAAATTAATCTGTATTTATGCAATAAACCATGAACATTGGGTAACTGAAAACCAGATTTTAGACCAAAATACCTGAGAGTATATATTCATTAGACCAGTGTGCTGAGGTACAGCTGCAAATTAAATTGGACAAAAGCAGGAAAAAAGTCAAATACAAAAATAAAAAAAGTACATAGAGTATAGTATCTTAGAAATTGCATCAGATTTTGCATCAATGTAAAAATGTGCCCAACATGACTGTTTCCCATTGCTGAGAAAATCTCCAGCAGAACTTTATTCAGCCACGTTGTGCACTTATGGATTAGTGAAACAGGTTCTTGTCTTGTACAGAAAAAAAAAACAATAATTTATTTTCATTTTTTTAAAACTGCTTTATGAGAATTTTCACACAAAGTGAAAATTTCCTTTCTATGCAATACAATGCTGGAACATTAACCTAAACTAAATTTCCATTTGCTTTTGCACATAAATTTCCCTGGGCCTGTGAATTTTAGGGTAATCTGTTCAAATAATAGAATAGCATAGAACAATGTACGACCAAATAAAAACAAAAAACTGAAATCTAACAGAAAGATCAATATTGAAATTAATTGTCTTGACTGAATTGTTGCAAGTCTGTCAACTCTCCACAAGGCACCGCTAAGTGTATAGACCTCCACAATGTTTTTGTAGCAATTTTTGCATAATCTTTTTTGAATTCAATATTTTGTCCATACATAGATAAAAAAAACTAAATATATAATAGAGAAATGTGTGTGTAGGCCTATATCTATATACACACAAATGACCAATAAAGGTGGCAGTGGCACAATATAATACAAGTTGTGTGAATTATACTTCATTGCATGTGTTTAACAAATGCAAACGCAACAATTCCACAATTATAGTAAAAATAAAATAAAATAAAACCAAAATATAACTTTACTACAACAACCATAAAAACAGTGGCATATATCCAGATATTTGGATATAACTATATAGACATACAAAAATAAAGTAACATTTGCTATGCACTTGTCAGCTTCATTCTGTTGTTCTGGCTCAGGATAATATACTTCGCTGAAAAGGAGAACATATGTGAATTTTGCAGGGTGATAACTGCTGTCTAATAAAAGAAACATTACTTTTTCAGGGGAGAAAGCTCCTTTCAATAAATGCATGTACCCGTCACTGGTGTGATAACTTGTGCTTTACATAAAGAGAACAAACATAGTCTAAACTGCGCAAGCAGAAAATATAGCAAATGTATAGATTTTATGAAAATCTATGAAATGTTGTGGTCCCGCCTGTTATCTGTAGGTCATAAGAGGTATCATTGCTGAAAATGTACTGAAAGAAAAGAGCAGGTTAACCCTCGTAAAAGCAGGTCTCACACTTTTGCCAGAGCAGTGACAGTTTTATGGTTAAACCGATTTCTGTCAAGAAGTTCAAAAGGACGGAGCTCTAAGTAGCTTCCACCTGGAGCATCTTCCCATTGCTCATCACTGTCACGATAGCTGAAGGGGACATAGAATGTGACGGCAGATAAGAACCATTCGGTCCATCTAGTCTGCCCAATATTCTAAATACTTTCATCAGTCCCTGGCCTTATCTTATAGTTAGGATAGCCTTATGCCTATTCCACGCATGCTTAAACTCCTTTACTGTGTTAACCTCTACCACTTCAGCTGGAAAGCTATTCCATGCATCTACTACCCTCTCAGTAAAGTAATACTTCCTGATATTATTTTTAAACCTTTGTCCCTCTAATTTAAGACTATGTCCTCTTGTTGTGGTAGTTTTTCTTCTTTTAAATATAGTCTCCTCCTTTACTGTGTTGATTCCCTTTACAGGTTATAGGGACAGACATAGACGCCTTCGTATGGCATCTAACTGCACATAATGCTTCTGGCAATTTATCTGCATTAATTCAAATATGAAGGCATATTTGTTACAGTGATAACAGATATGTCACCTTAATGTTTCCTAGGGAAAAACATTGCAATCATCCCACAAATGACAGACACTTTCATGCCTAAAACATATACAGGTTATTTACTAAGGTAAAAATTGCAGAGCATTCAAAGTCAATTTCAAATTTTGGGCCAAAGAAGCAGAATTGGATGCATAGCTGACTGGGAGAATGTTTCCAATTCAGCTATTTAGACCTTAAAATTGAAATTCGGTTTGAATTCACAACTATTCACAGTTTAATGATTAGGGTAGTAATAGGGTGCATATAAAACAATTTGTGTGAACTTAGTAGGACGCCTTGTCTGCGTTGGAGTGGCACATTTCCTTTTTTTATCATAATTTTAAAGACAAAACACACATATCCATATATTATGTTAATTAAATACACACATATATACATACACAACATCTAGACCAACACAATTAGTTGTTCCCTTTTTAACAAATTGCCACAAGTAACGGCTGGGTTATAGAATATAGATTGGATTTCATTTGATCCATCTTGGAATGACCGGTCACATGCTGCCCATAGCGAGCTTAACCTAATTACAGTCTATAAACAAAAGAATCATGTAAGGACATAATTAGACACGGGAACAAAACTAATTTCTCTGCATAGTAGTAGGACTTTAACTTGATATAATCAGTCCAATTTTCTTGGCAGTATGAAGCAAATGTTTTTTATTCTGAACACAATATAAACATTAAATAATGAGGTCATGTAATAAAGTATTTTAGATCTTAGCTGGGCAAATGTTCTCTTGTTATGAGTTCCCCCCTCTCTTAAAGGGCTAATGCATTTTTGGGCACAATGTATATATGTATATATCTAGATAGATATTTTTTTAGTATGCTGCACTAAGAAGGCAATCCCTGCCAAAGATGCTTGATTAATATGAAACCAGAAGACTAAACTTCCTTACACTTTAAAATTAGTTTTTTATCCCCTCGTTGTAAAAAAATAAAAATAAAACAGTGGTTCCTTTTTAAATGAAGCAAGCATCAGACACAAATAGTTAATAGCATCAATGTTTCAAAGTGTGGTCGTTCTGGTATATAATGAGTTAATGCCATTTACGCCTACTAGAGATATCACTTCCTCCCCCCCATGTCAAAGTTCCAAAATAAAATGTACACTTTGTATTGAAAAGAAAGTTTGAAACATCCTGTGTGCAGCAAAACAAAAACGCAAACCACTGATAAGACTTAACACAGAAAGTAAGTTTATTGTAAATTAGCAAAGACCCAAAGTTCCAAATATACAGCAACGTTCAGTCTGTTATTCAGTCTGCTAATTCATCCCTAGACCCATTGCAGAAGGCAGGATGTTAAAAGTTAGAGCCACGTGTGCAAAGCATAGATAGAAATCCCCTGATCTGTTTCTTATACAGCAAGGGTTTAAGACTGGTCACCCCCTGTGGACTTACCTGATCTCAGATCATGTAGAACCTGCACCCACCAGCCAACAAGACCAACTGATGGCTTGACCAGGAGGACAAGCAGAAAAGAGACTTTGAAAGAGTTTCATCAAACACATAGCTCACCTGACAAAGTGGGCAGAGTTTGGGAGGAGCGTACAGAGACAGCACGAGGCTCCAGATACAGCCCTAGGCTGGCCTGGGGCTACTTTGGAGACTGAGAAGTATTCAACTGAAAGCCTCATTCTCAACGTGATTGAAGAGGGCTGGACCACCAAGCAATACACCAGTACTTCAGGATGCACAAGGCTCTCTGGAAATACAGCGGATAAGAGAACAACACTTCGACATCAGATTGGATGAGACTTGTGGGAGTTGTGCTGCACAGCAGCTGGTGTGATGACTGGATAGTTTGAACAAAAAGTATCATTGCTGCATCTCATTAGTATAACGGGATGTATGGCCATGCTGGAAGTTGTGAGCCACCCATTAGAATGGCTGAGGTTATTAGGAGTTGTAGTCTACAGTAGTTAGTAGTGTGTGCTTTATAAAAAATATAATATTCATGGATTTTAGATATATAATTCGATTTCAAATACGTTTGTGACTCCAGAGACCAGGGCTGGATTCATGAGATATCTGAATCACTTGTAAAGTGCTTTCATCATAGACAAAAGGAACTTTGACAATTGGGCACTTTTTGATTGAAAAAAAATATTAGCATAACACGTATTTGAAGCAAGGGATGCAGGCTTGACATATAAACATATCAGACTCCGGGAATTTTTGTGTATATTGCTTTGCAGACACATGTACACATACTAGTTATGTTAATTGAGACTCACTTTTTCAGTTATTTGTTGAGGCTTTATAATAAAAGTTGAAAATGAAAAGGTTTAAAGACAGTATATAGAGTGTCCTTTTTTATTTATTTATTTATTTATTTTTGCAATAATCCGGGTTCTGAAATGTTAGTATAAAAGCACAAATGCAATTTCTCACTGTAAGTAGATGTGACAAAAATAGATAAATAAAAATCGGTCAAATTCATTGCGTGTAGGTATTTGTACGGATCCTAATGGCATTTACTACCAGTAAAGCTTACTAAGAATGGAAACAGAATGTAAAAATAAGATTGCCTGCATTTGAGCAAAAAGCCAATGTATGTTGAAGGAGCACTAAAGGGGCAGGAACACAAACATGTATTCCTGACCCTATAGTGCTAAAACCAACATTTTAAGAGAAAGAGTTAAACTTACCTTATTTCCAGCTCTCCACAGGTTTTCAGGCACTGGCCTCGCCCCTGATCCGCCTCTCTGGCTGACATAATCAGAATTAATTATCTCAGCCAATCCGATGCTTTCCCACAGGGACAGCATTGAATTGGCTGCGATCGTCAAAGGTCTCCCTCACGGCCCACTTGGACAGACATGCGGCTGGGGAGGGAGAGGACCTTGCAGCTCTGCCAGGTTCCTCGCGATATCCGGTTGTTGCCACGGCAACGACCGGATCTCACGAGAGTGAACTCTAGCCCGCAGGCTAGAGTTCACTCACCACTGGACCACCAGGGATGGTGTCGGAGTGCGAGTGCCGGTCCTACCCCCTTTCCCACGTACCAGCGTGCCGGTCCCCCCCTCCCAGGCTAAAGGTAAGAAGGGAGGGGGGATTTAATGCCTGCTTAATTTTATTTTTATCTTTTACCCCTCAAACACGCAATCCCTTTTAATATTCACACACAGCACTATCACATAGCACTCTCACACCCATCACACACAGCACTCACAGCACACACACAGCACTCTCACACCCATCACACACAGTACTCTCACACACAGCACCCTTACACACAGCACCCTCACACACATCATAAACAGCACCCTCACAAACAGCACCCCTCAAACACAGCATCCATCACACACACATACTGCGCCCTTCACATACACACTACATCCCTCAAATACACCCACTGCACCCCTCACACATACACACTGCACCAAACACACACACACAATACTTCCGAACATGTTTATATATTATATATATATATATATACACACACACACTACAGCACCCCTCACACACATACTGCACTCCTAAACACATTACGTTCCAGACACACACTATATCCCTTACCCAACTCTGGATCATATACACACACTAGATCCCTTTATACACACTGAATCCATTATATACACACTCACTAGATCTCCTACACATTCTGGGTCCTTCAAACACACACTAAATACATATATCTTTCAAATTAATGTTAGCTTAAAATCTGTATCAATCTCTGCAATGCTAATGTAAGGCTAACCGTGAAATGGTAGAATCTATTCACTCCTCTCTCATGACTCATGATATGGCTCATTGAAACTTCCTGTACTCTTTGGAAGCAGAGGAATAGCTTACATTTTCAGCACATTTACAGGCATTATCTGAGTGACTTATGCTTTCTGGCAGAAAAATGAATTCCTCTACAGGCTGGTAATCATGACAGGAGTGAGTGAGGCTTTATGCACTAGACTTCATTTTGCAAAATTCATGAAAATAACATTTATACTCAATTTAGGTAGTGAAGTGGTTAATTAATAAAGTCAAATGCTCAGACGTATGATAGAATCTGTTTCTAAGATGCTCCTGTGAAATATCTTAGAGTGACAGAGACAAGATAAACAGTACATGCAGCAGACTTCACTAGGGTTGGTGTCACCGAGTACAATGACTCATACAGCATTATCCAGGAAAGTCCAAATGGCCTTGAACCAAATGGGGCAAAACCATCTGAACGATTTGCCCTCTGGCTGCGCTTGTGGGCAAATAGTTAAAAAACATCCTCAGCAGCGTAAGGGTTAAGTATGTGGCCAGCAAGCCACCACATTAGGATCTAATTACACTGCCCCCATGTTTCTTGAGCTGAACTCAAAGATCTAAGACTTTTTCTATGGACATAAAAGGCCTATTTCTCTCAAATATTGTTCACAAATCTGTCTAAATCTGTGTTAGTGAGCACTTCTCCTTTGCCAAGATAATCCATCCACAGGTGAGGTATATCAAGATGCTGATTAGACAGCATGATTATTGCACAGGTGTGCCTTAGGCTGGCCACAATAAAAGGCCACTCTAAAATGTGCAGTTTACTGTATTGGGCATGTCTGGAGAGGGACGTCCGAAAACCAGTCAGTATCTGGTGTGACCACCATTTGCTTCTCACAGTGCAACACATCATCTTCGCATAGAATTGATCAGGTTATTGATTGTAACCTGTGGAATGTTGGTCCACTCCTCTTCAATGACTGTTCGAAGTTGCTGAATATTGGCAGGACCTGAAACACGCTGACGTATACGCCGATCCAGAGCGTCCTAAACATGTTCAATGGGTGACATGTCCGGTGAGTATGCTGGCCATGCAAGAACTGGGATGTGTTCAGCTTCCAGGAATTGTGTACAGATCCTTGCAACATGGGGCCGTGCATTATCATGCTGCAACATGAGGTGATGGTCGTGGATGAATGGCACAACAATGGGCCTCAGGATCTCGTCATGGTATCTCTATGCACTCATTGTCATTGTCCATAACATACGCCTACCCATACCATAATCCCACCGCCACCATGGGTCACTCGATCCACAACATTGACATCAGCAAACTGCTCACCCTCACGATGCCATACACGCTGTCTGCCATCTGCCCTGTACAGTGAAAATCGTGATTCATCCGTGAAGAGAACACCTCTCCAAAGTGCCAGACGCCATCGAATGTGAGCATGAGGTGAAGATGCTGGATGTGGAGGTTCTGGGCTGGTGTGGTTACGCGTGGTTTGTGGTTGTGAGGCCGGTAGGATTGCCAAATTCTCTGAAACGCCTTTGGAGACAGCTTATGGTAGAGAAATGAACATTCAATTCACGGGCATCAGCTCTCGTGGACATTCCTGCAGCCAGCATGCCAATTGCACGCTCCCTCAAAACTTGCAACATCTGTGGCATTGTGCTGTGTGGTAAAAAATTATTGCAAAGGTTTAACATCCTCTGAAACCGTCTACATTGTTTCAGAACTGTTTGACTTCTTACCTGGGGTCCTCTTAGTTTCTAAGCTATGCACTGCAGGACTTGGCTCATTGGCTGGGAGCGATCAGCTGATGCTCAAAGCTTGTTTAATATATGTGTTATATAACTCCAATCAACCTTATCCAAGCCTGATAAGAATTTATGTCCACTATCTTTTTATATAGTTAATCACTGTTTTAATGGACACAAAAATTACTACTGCCCCTGCCCCTGCCCCCTACCACTACCCCCTGCTAAATGGAAATTCCACTGCTTCCTACATAAATTTCCCACACGTCACACATTGTCACGCATAACACTCACAGTGGTCCAAACGTGTCACTCACAGCTTCTCACACTGCCACACATATTGCTCACAGCTACCCACATGCAGACACTGACTGCTATACACGCATTACACAGCCGTGTACAGCACATGCAGAAAGCCACAACATACACTTCACACATAGCTACAACACTTTCAGGCACCCTACACAACACACACTCACACATCCACTCAATTTTTTTTTTTTAAATATTCACATTACATAATAATACAAAAATAACACAGGGGAAGAGTTTCCTGGTGCATACCCTAATAAAATGGGCTGTGCATGCCATTGTGCACATGTGGTGGCTCTACTGTAGTCTGGGCAAATGAGCTTATTTCTTTAATATAGTATCTATAGATATACAAATAGGGGTCATTACCAACTTGGTTTGTCTGTTTAATATAAGGGTATATTATGCAACATGCTGAAAAAGTTATATATTAGAAATAGTCAACCCGTAACTTAAATAAAATACAAATGTAATGTTTATGACATTGAAAGTCCACTTGTCTAGCTAATTTTGAAAAAATGACACATTTACTCACAATCGTTATAAGAAAAATATAACAGGCAAACAAAGAACCTGTTTAAATATCAGAATACAAGAATTCTGTGATGCAAATGTCAATGAATAATTCATTAAGCATGTTGAGGAGTGTAGTAAATCACAGGGAAACATATTTCATGGAAGCCCAGAAGAAATTACTTGCATTTCGTGGCACGACTAGGCCATAAGCCAGGTGCTCAATATGTAATGTGATTTTGGGTACGGCTGAGTAAATATGCTCTGCGTTGGTAAGTAAATATTCCCCTAAAGATAGCTTCCCTTCGGTCTCATACGAAAACACTGTGGCTATTTGCTTGTTTTATCTGCAAGAAAAACTTCAGTAAGGAAAAGTGCAAACAAATGGGAGCAAAGGATTATGGGAGCAGAACAGCAGACTTAGTGCAAACCGAAGCAAGAGATTCATTGTTCCTGTCACTTTTCCCTAGACTAGAGACCATGTGTAGGTGAATGTGAATTTTGCCAATCTAAATTAAAGGAACACTCCAAATGCATACATTATTTTAGCTTGTTGAAGTGCTTTATGTGTCTGGAGTCTGTCTTTTTCTTCAATATATAATAATGCCTATATCAATAAAACTCAGCACTTTTTTAAGTGGACA